CTTTGTCCCATTTTTCAAACCATTGTATGTGCTATTACTGTCATAAATACGAAAATTCCGTGTGCGCAAATGATTCATTGTCATTCTCTAGCTGACCATAATTAAAAGTCCCATGTAAATGGCATATTATCGTCTCGCGACCTCTCTCTCGTAACGAAGTGTTTTTGTCCGCTCACCATGCAGGCTGCCTAAACGTCAGTCCTGACATTAGTATAAAATAACGTGACATGCCTACCTAACAACCAGTTACTCCTCCAAGTCCGGATTTGTGGCCATTTTAAAGGATGGGAAAGCTTGTCACCGTTGAAATGTCGGTCTTCCTCCACTTTCACGATGAGGACATTTCGGCGTCATTCTCTTTTCAGGAATGTGATGGTGCGGTGCTCATCTCCATTTTTATGCCATCGTTAGGAATAGCTTATTTTTGTAAGGCAATGTCTACAGCTATGTGGCAAGCGTAAGAAATAGTCTTCTGTTTTCTTCGCACAGAATGTTACTCAGTCATCAATCTCGGAAGGAAGAAAGGCGAGTAACTCTGACCGCGGCTTGAACTTTGGACCCATCAGTTTTGAGTTCGATGCCCTACCGACTGAGCAACCCCGGTTTGACGCAGTGTACGATAAATTCCTTGCTCAAATGAATTCGTGAATTAAACAAGGATATGTTCCTCGAGCGGAATCGAATCTAGCACCTCTCGAGTTCAAAGCAGACCTTTCAGACAACTGCACCAACGCGCCGAAATTTTGTCCGCTAGAGTCACCTGGCGTTCACCAAGAATATTTTCAGGAGCTAGTATCTCTTATATTCTACCACATAAACATAAATTTTTCATACGCCCGAGTATGTCACATAAGGAACGACTATTCCAAGACCAGATGATGCTGCTGGATGGGCTGAAACTGCAGCCGTGGCGTGTTTAAATGCCCCCCTCCCACCCCCAGCAACTAGAAGCAAAGGGTGGTTAAATACGACGTGAAATCTGGTCCCGAAGGAATTATTCGTTATTTGACATACTAAGGCGCACGAACAGTTGGTGATGTTTATGCAGCACGCCTGACTAATAGAGCATAGGAGACTAACGTAGCACCAAAAGCTTCATGAAAGCAAGTTGCCAAAAATGGTGGC